CACTTTAGATTCATGCAAGAAAGTTAGAATCTTGAGTTATATTAAATTCCTCATAAACTGCCTGTTTTTCCACTGTTATGAATTCCATGCAGAAACATTTATATAACATTAAAATAAAACTTGTCCAACTAAGATTTCTACCTTTAGGGGTCTCTGTGTTTAACACTAACAAGTCACGTACAGCTGGATCCCAAAAACCAGCGATGAAATATGTTTTGCCACCCTCTGCAACCTCCATTTTCACCTAAAATAGATTCGCACTTATTAGAATCCATGAGTACTGAGCTTCTCAAAAACATATATGCAATTTAGTCATAACCTTTTCTATCTTAACTATCAAATGAGTTTCCTTTTTCAATTAAACTTATAAATTAAGGCAAATTGCTATATATAGCTGGAATTTTCCCCCATCAGTGTACACACTCATTGGATACTTCAAAATTACACAATATCTAACAATGAAGCTGTTTCTGGTCAAAAGCCTTCAATTGTGGAAATCGTAAAAACCTATACAGCAAAAGGGTAACATTGCACTGATACCCGCAAATGTTGACCAGTGATTGTCATCCCATGCAAACAGAGCATGACTGAAGGGGACATGGAGGCCATGAGACATTTCTGACATTGTAAAACTTTATGCTCTCATGGGCTTACATATAATTCATCGGTAAAATTTCTAATTTTGTTTTCACATTGCATGATCTCAAATCTTCTTTGTGTTCTATAGCAAATCATTTATGACTGGTTCCTCAGGGAACAGTTAATTCTATTTGTTTTTCCTATATCACAATGTTTTTCTCAGCTCCTTTTAGGAAAACACTAAGATTCACCAGTCTTGAAGTGTTACATATTATCTGATGATTTTTGACACGCCTCGTAATTTGCCAAGAGACTATAATTATCTTCCAGTGCAAATATGTGAATTTTCATATATCTAAATCTTCATTCACTCGGATGTTTATTTGTACCCAATTCATTACCAGCTCCCAGTTGGCTTGTTAGCTCAATTGGTAGAAAAAATATTGTGTAGTCATAATGGCGGTGCGATCATTGTCACACCTGAGCTCATTCAAATAATACTATAGCTAACCTCATTTAATAGGTGCATGTCAGAATATCGAACATTCTTTCCTGGACAGATAAGAAGGCCAAAGCACCTGGAAGAGTAAAGGGAAAACATATTTTAGAGTTTGCGACAATGAGAGGGAGGGGGGCATGCTAGCCTAAAATTCAAACTGCTTGGAGATAAAGATTGCAGTTTGAGTTGAAGCCTCTAAAGGGAACCAATATAGCATCATGTTAAAGAAGCTATGTCATCAGTTATCTGTGTTGAAAATTGTATTAGCCTTTCCTCTGTGGTGGTCATCTATCTTAATTAAAGATCTCTGTACACTTCCCTTTGTATAAACTAAGCCAGTTTTCTACGTCATTTAAAAAATTGGAATATTTTGCCATGGGAAAGGTTCCTGACTACCATCAGAATTTTAAACTGTAGGGTTTTAATCAATAAGTGTCCTTAATAGAACCATTGTTACACTTCAAACCAAGTAGGACAGAGTTATTATTAGTGATATAATCATTCTTCTTTTTTCAGCAACTGGGATAGTTACAAACCTCTCTACAATAAGATGTCTGTTAGTCAACTGCTGCACTGTAATGAACACTTTCTTTCTCAAGTCTTGTCGTAATTTGAAGCAGTTTTTGTCCCTTGCTGCTGAAGAAAATCCCTTATTGTCTTCCTCAAGAATGTCAAGAGTCAGGTCAAATTTGAACACAAGGTTGCTGACACCAGTGACTGTTGTTGGGGGATCCAAGGATGACTGTTGTGACTGTTGCTTTCTCTTTGCAGGAAAGTAAATAATAAAACAAATTTTTAAGGAAACGATCACACACGTGAAAAGTTAAACATTAAACAAAGGGCAAGATGTTCTCAGAATAATGGAATTGACCTTGAAACAATCAAGCAACACTCAGTGAAGAAAATTTGTCACAGAAAAAGCATGCTGTGTAAAAGGGGGAAAATTTTTCAAATGACACCGGCAGACCAAACTGATCAACGTAATTCATTTGAACATCAAATCTATGGAGACCAACAGCTCATGCAAGTTTATAAGTCTTCAACAAAATGTAACCTGCACTCATTCAACTCAAATGAAAGAGAGATGGTTTTCAGACCTGTTCCTCTGACAAAATAACAACATCTTCATTAGTCCGCAAAATTCACCACTTTCCTTGTTCTATCTACTTGAATGTACAAATTAAACTCAAGATCATGGGGTTACCTCAGTCTATGTGGCACTCAAGATAAAAAGTTTTTCATATTGCAAATTCAAATTTTGAGTATCATCATAAAAACTGTCACTCAAATTTAGGAAATAACATACCTTCCTATGCCTTCTAAAGGAGAGAGCAAATGTTCTCAAGATCTTTCCAGCCTAGATAATAAATTGAATTCATATTATTACAAAACCAAAGATTCCTTAGTCTTAGCCTTAGTGGAATCTACTCTGAACCTCCAGGTTTAGAGGCAAGTGCACTAAGCATCAGGCCACCTGTTTCCTATACTCACAAAGGGAATGCTCCTTAAGCCTTTAAACCCTAGCATTGGTATGTGTTTTCTCCATACTGTTTTCTACACATTTCCTAAGGTGTTGACAAGGAGAATTTGTTTAACAATCAAGGATTTTTCAGTTGACTGACTTAAGTGTTTAATTCAGAAGTGATACTGTTGGGAAAATTTGGATGCTTGTCAGGGGTTAAAACCCTTTCATGGCATGCTTGATGATAATCCTACTTTGGAATCTACATCTTACTAATAAAGCTTAAATGTACCTTGATCAGAAACAAACTTCTTAACCCTTTCAATCCCAGAAGTGACTGACATGTAACTTCACCTTTTAACAACCTTACAATTGTTCATCAAACAGGAAATGAGAATTCTTAAACTTATCAGGAGAAGTTGTTGTCTTGATCTAACACCAAATTCTTGTAACTAATTTACAAGGAAATATGTAACAGCTAGGGGGAGAGATTAGTAATAAGATCTTGGAAGTTAAAGGGTTAAGGAAAACTATGAGAACATGGTTGGTAGAGAGTGAAACTATTAACAGAATTTCCCAAAGAGTTGAGGAACCAAACAAACCCATCCAGGGGAGAAATATCCAATTTTCCCAAATATATTTTTTTGAGACAAGAAAATGGCCTCACCTTCTCTGGATCTTTGCATCTGAATACATGGCAATGGAAAATCTCAGAATCACCATGGACAGTATTGAAGGCAAAGCAGTCACTTTCGCTTCCCTCAACATCACCACGGCCACAAAACAGGATCCTCTGTATTTTATAAGTAGCAATGTCAGCCTGTGTCTCTGGGTCTTTGAGTCTTATCATCTTGTCCGATGTGGAACCAACATACAACAAAACATCAATGGTGACCTCTGTTTGTTCTCGCAAGATAGCCATTGTCCTTTTCAATTCAATTTCACTCACTGGAGCATTCACAGTGGAGGATCCCAAGTAAGTTATCCCATCATATACAACAGCATCATCATCACTCTCTTCATCTGATTGTCCAGGATCAGTACTTGCTCTGGGTTGCGCTGACTCTCCAGCATCAAGCTCTGTACCATTTGATGTTTGAGTAGTGTTGGTGTTATCACCATGGATTCTTCCATCTACTGTTTGTGAATCACCTTCAACAACACACGGATTCAAAACATGATAATTTTTTTCATCAGGTATCAGTTCAATACTGCCATTTACTGCTAATGAATTGTCATTACTGAGAGGAGTGTTCTGAGAATTGCTCTCTGAACCTGGACTAAAGAATACCTCTGGAACTGATGTAGAGCTATGAGAAAAGTCCTTTTTTGCATCCTCCACCAAATGTTGCAGCTCTTCCTCTGTTGGTCCCTTCTCCAAGGTAGCCTCCATGTCAGGGATTATCACATCTGCAAAGCTACTCACACTACTCCCCTGAGATTTACAAACTGACACGCCTGAACCTGAATCAGATTCAACATCAGGCGTAGCAAGCATAATGTATTCATGATCACTGTTTAAAGACTTTGAATCTGGGCTGCGAGGTTGCTCTGGACTACTGGAATTGCTTCTACCTTGGCCACTTTCGCTTGCTTTCTGATCAGCCATGAATAATCTTGTCACACGGTTTAGGCAAATATGTCTGAAGTCAGCTGTTCACAATTAACTAAGATCCTTAAAGATTGAAGCTGTCTTTCAACCAAAGGAAATAACTTTCGTTTTTATCGTTTAAAGGATAGGCAAATCCTCATTATAAAAGTAGAGCAGTATTTATTACAGATCAAATGAAACCCTTCGTAGTGTATCGCATCAGGTCTGAGATTCTAGATCTGACTCCGGTATGGCCGTCGGTTTTGAGAGCGAAGACAAAATGAATGTTAATCCAAACTGACTGATCAATAGAGAGTTCAAATAAACGATGAACTTCTTTTTCACCAAAGATTTTTTCAATCTGACGACCCTTTTCGTCGATCTGAGAGAGAAAAAGTAAAAATTATCAGATAGCAGATGTCTTTGTTCTTAAATTTAGACAATTGAACGAGAACATGAAACTCAGATCTATTAAAAGCCAACATTTCTTACCTTTTTTTAAACGACGAGTGAAAAGGAAGCTTCTACCTTCCCAATAATTTTTGAAGTTTCAGCAATGGCTAGCGAATTAGACAACAGTCAAAAATCGATCAAGTCTTGTTCACAATATATGACGTCAAGAGACAAAAGGGGAAGAAACAGAATTACTTGTCTTTCAATACAGCCCATTAGGTGCACCTTTCATATTGCTTTACTTTCACACCAATAAATTTCCCTAAAATAGACAAAATCGCTTCACTGCAGCCCACACAGACGAATTAACATAGGATGGACAGATCAAAATAGAGAGCAGACAGCTTTTATCAGTGCCCGCGGTGCTTGCCGGGACTTTGGGATGCTACAAGCCCATTACATGATAGAAGGTTGTGGAATTTCAATATGGCGGCGCGGCATGTGCTGCGAACCCCTTGGAATATCTCGCCTGTAAGAGGTACGGGTGGTTCTTTCTCCCCATACATGACGTTATGTTATATTGAAATTAATTTCTATGCCATTTTATCGTAGGAAAGACAATTATCTCTTCTCTTTTGGCACCAATTACAAGGTTCAGGCAGGCTTGTTCAATACATACTCACAGTTCCATACTTTCCAGTGAACCATCATCTGCTGTACAAACTGATAAGACTGAACCAGATGAGGGTGGTAAGTTAGATTTTGAGTAGGGATTCGTGTCAACAGATTTAAATCTGAAAGAAGTTCACAAAAATTAGCTTACATAACTGATATCATGTGATGCTGTATTTTGACTTGAATACGTAGCTTTCGTGTCTTCCAGTCACACTTAACTAGTCAAAAAAATATTCTATTCTCTGATCAGCTAACAAGTATTTTCCCTTTCGATTATCATTCTCGTGGTGGAGAAAATAACTCTTACTACCACTGACTGTGAATATATGAAAATCATATATGTGTACTGAAGCAGCAGTGGAAAAAGTGTTCATCACTGCGTAGATTACTTCCACATTCATTTCTCTATCCGCAGTTCACATATATGATTTTCATTTATTTACAACCATTTACTCATCACTTCATTGGATTATTTGGAACCAATATAATGACCAGCTCCCCGTTGGCTTGTTAGCTCAGTTAATGGAGCGCTGCTCTGGTATTGCAGAGGTTGTTGTTCAAATCCTGTACAGGCCTGAATTTTTTTTCAGGCCTTATCTTCACTACTGCTTAAGCAGTGTTCATTTCTGGGGAGATTGCTTCCATATTCAGTTTGTACTACTATTACTTTATAACATACAGATATTTCTTTTTCGTTTAGAAATTGTTGAAAATGATGAAGGAAAAAACATCCTGGAGCACCCAGATTACTTTGAAGTTCATAAACTTTTCACTCTGAAAGATCTTTTTAATGCAAATGTTCATCTTGGTCATAATGAAGGCTGTTGGGACCCTTTGATGAAACCTTACCTCTTCGGAGTCAGAGAAAAGCATCATATCATTGATCTCAACCAGACAGTTGTGCATTTGAGGGTATGTACATGCATCATGTGAATAAAGGGGTTAAGTTTCCAAAGAAACTGTGGTGCTGCATGGGTGGGAGAGTATAACAGGGTAATTAAGTATTATCAACTGAGTTGATTGCATAAAGTGGCCTCCAAAAAGAGTAGCAAAGCTTGTGTTTCGAGCATTAGTCATTGCTCTGATGAAGGGCTAATGCTTGAAATGTCAGCAATGTTATCCTTTACAGGGGCCAATTTATGCTATTAACTCAGTTAATAATGCTAAATTATCCTACATGCATCACAATTGATAGTTTAAAGATATCAAGAATGGATAAGACTGAGAGCTGGTGGGACTCTTTCTATGTGGTATGATTTTACAAGATCACCTCTGAATCACAAAGTAACATTACAAGAATAAAGGAAATAATCCCCTACTAAAGCTTGTGATTGCTAGACAAATTCTCCTTATTAGCATCATAGGAAATGTTTAGAGAAAAGTATGGAGAATATGCCTACTGATGTTATGGTGTAAAGGGTTCACTAGTGGTTTTGTAGCTGGAGTGCAGAGTTAACCTTTTACCTTCTCATTAGAAGTCTTTCTGAATCTGGTGCTAATTGCAGCATTTCTTTAGGGGAAATTGTGGTAGAGATTGCCAAAGAACTAAACACAGTGACCCTGGCTAGATCTCAAGCTAAAATTAATGGACAGATAATACAAAAGATGGAGTGAACTTCACACATGACAAACTAGAGTGTTTTTTTGTGTCCTTTTCCGTGTTAAGTATTTTTTTGTTGATAGCATCTATCTCTTGACTTTAGTGTGAATGGCAAACAATTTCATTCCCTTTTTTGACCCTCTTAAACAATTGCTTCAGGATTTTCATCCTTCCCCAAATAAATTTTGATCAATTCTGTTTTAAAACAAACTGTACATCACAATCCATGAGACCCACAGAATACCTTATGTCTCGTACTCTTTTACTACTCACCTTAATTTAACACTTTACCAGCTGACATCAGTATGCACGTTCTCCCAACTGTTGTTTAACAATCACAAGCTTCCTTAGTTTATGATCATTTTCATTTTTTGCTTATTTCCTTTGTTCTTAACCCTTTCACTCCTATAAGTGACCAAGACAGAATTTCTCCTCACAATATCAATACAGTATCAAGCAGGCAGGTGATGAGAATAGAGAAGAACATCAATTATGGAATTATTAGTTGATCCAATACCAAATTCTCTGAAATAACATCATAAGAATTGTCTGGCAGATAGTAAGGAGAATTACTAATTAGATCTTGGGAGTGAAAGGGTTAGAGTGTGATTCAGGGGTTGATGTTGTAAGAAGAAATTAGATGCTACACACTTAAGATAGAGGAACTGCACCCATTTGTTACTTCCTCCTGTTCTAAGTGGTGACATTAACCTTTTTTTTTCCTTCCAGCTTGCCTTGAATGTTCTTTCACACATTGCCTATAAAAGAGGGAAAATTCTCTTTATTTCTGCCCACCCCCAGTTTGAAGAATTGACACAGCGCACTGCAAGGGAATGTGATGAGTACTTTATAACTCGCAGATGGCGTGGAGGAACTCTGACCAATTCTTACATGTTATTAGGAACAACTGAACTTGTTGATCTGATTATATTTTTGCATTTGCCATCATTGGGAAAAAACACTCTGGCTGTGACAGAAGCTGCTCAGCTAAATATTCCTACTATTGGCATAGTTGACAGTGACTGCAATCCTAATATGATTATGTATCCCATACCTGGAAATGATGATACACCTTCTGCTGTCCAACTGTACTGCAATCTGTTTAAAAAAGTGATAATGAAGGCAAAAGAGGAGAGAAGAAAACTAGGCTCTGATACTGAAGAGAGTGGTGAAAATGCATAAAAATTTCTGTTGGAATTTCATCTTCCAAGAAGAAAAGTTTGAAAAGAAAAACAGAAGTGCTTCAAAGTTACTAGGAGAACTGTCTGTGTATTAAAGATATCAAAATTCACCCTCGATACTGTTATTACTTTTTTTTATCATTTAACTGTCGCATTCCAGAAATTTTGCCCTTGAGGTAAATAATCTGAAATTCAATGAATGGTCTGCAAGTTTACAAAGTGACTATTATCTAGCCATGATCAAAGTTGGTAAAACAGGGAACTTACTGGTGGGGTATTTGTGTCAGGTGACAAAAGGTGCTCAGGGATGGTATTCAGAAAATTTCTAAGGAAAATAGGATGTTTTGAAAGATAGTTCATAATTCCTGAATGAGATTTCCAAACAGAAAACGTGATTCACATTTACATATCACTACCAGTTCCAGGCCTATGAGCTTAGATCTCCCCACTTCTTAGCCTGCAGAATCTTCAAAGATAAGTGGAAATGGCAGAAAGTACATGTATCAGTGTAGCAGCTGTGGCTTTTGTTTAGAACGTTTGTCAAGTCTCTGCAATCATGTTTGTCTCACACTTAGTGAGCAATATCTTTAATTAGTATATACCACACAAGTGAATGTTTTTTTGTGTGCACCGACTGGCTATTTCTACAGTGAATAAAAAGTGTGGTATGCACTAAAACAGTTATTCACCTCAGTGTTTATACACATCCACTTCAATGAATAATTGTTAATTATGAGCCATTCCAAATTCTTGTTTTATCAATGCCCAGAACCAGACACATGTGAAGCTTTCTCCATCTGGTGTTACAACATAAGCTCTCTTGAAGTCAATGTTACTTTGTTTAAATGAAAACTATCAACAGAGGCCTGTGACCTGCCACCTGTGACCCAGGAACTGTGACCAGAAACCAGTGAACCATGACTTGCCATCTGTGACCTGAAAACCTGCAACCTGTCTGTGAGCTGCACTGTGACCAAGACTAGATATATCCATCTTATCACAGATTTTGTGCTGACAGCTTGGAAAGAGACAACTTATCTTTAAACATGAGGTGTTTAAAGGTTAATAATTCACCTTTGCAAGCAAATGGCTCAAAGGTCTATGTGGTCCAGGTTTTAAAGTTTGGTCAATGTTTAGAAAGTCACAGTCACTGATCTTGCCTTCAACAAAAGTAATGGGTGGGACATTTTCCCTGAGGTTGGGAATTTAAACAAACCTAACCAATCTTCAAAAGTTCAAATGCCTGGGGAGTTGCCCAACGGGAAGGGGGAGGGGTGGAGGGAGATGTTGAAGTTTCTAATTGATTAACACATTAATACTTGTAGCTGCAAGGCTCACAAGGGCTCGAAGTCAAAGTAAGCCCAGTACCTTCCCATCCTCCATATTTCCTCCCTCTGAAAAGAAGCCTGGGAAAAAGGCTGAAGTTTTTAGATAGCTCGTTAAGAAGAGGACATTTCAACCCTCAGAGAATCAATTCACTGCCACCCAAATCCACTTTTTCAGACACCACATTCCTAACAGTCTTGAAGACATATCCTAATGCGTTTGAAGTGCTCCATGGATAGAAAAGAAATTTAAACAAATAATTTTGAAAAGTTCAATAAATATTTTAATTAGTATTTACAAATGCACTCAACAAGCTCAATGAGTCAATTCTCCTATCAATTGAGAGTATTAATGGAACTATATTAACATTTAAAAGTCATAACTTCAATGTAGACAATATAAACAATTTTTTTGTTTCCAAAGCAACGTCTGAAAATGTGCTGTTTGAAGCTGGTTATTAACCCTTTAACTCCCAAAAGTGATTAACACAAAACTTCTCCCTACAATATCTATACATTCTTCAGCAAACAGGTAATGAGAATATTCAAACTTATCAGGTAGAAGCTACTATCTTGATCTAGCACCAAGTTCTCATAACTAATTTACAAGAAAATGTGTAGCAGCTGCAGGGGAGAATTAACAATCAGATCTTGGGAATTAAAGGGTTAATGAAACTCCATAACACCTCTTAGGGGTTTTTTTTTTTCCTTGAGCAGATGTGCGAATCACCGTCTTTCAGATAAATATCTTCACGTTTCCGTGATGCTCTGAAACGTAAAATAAATAAGAAAATGTAATATGGTAACTTGAAATAAGTAGGCACGGAAAAACTCATTTTCTTCCATTCCCTGCCTTCAACTGATGCGAATGCTAAAAATATTCCTAGGAAATAATTAACAGGTCACGATGCTCATTCCTTTGTAGCCGTTAAAAAGAAGTACGTAATCACTAACAAATTCTGGTTTCGTGTTTTCTCTTCTTCAACAAACACATTGCCTTTGGCTGATCAAAGACAAAAATCATCCAACATCAACGGCGTTTTCAATAAGTAATCACAAGAGAGTGACTATTTCCATGAATGAAAAAAGATCTAACGTCTATTAATTACAAAATAGTATTGAATAATTCAAGTGCATCACGCAGTGAGTATTGTTCAAAACAACAACCTCATTTGAACTGGCAAATGAAGTCAACTATTTCTAAGATAAAAATTTGTAATATCTATATATTAAGTTAGCAAGATTTGATCTTAAATTACAATTTCAACGATGAAACAAGTTCGACAAGTGTCAATTCACTATAGGATCGCAATTGGAATAAGATATCAATGAATACTTTGGATCTGTTCACGGCAGATCACTCAAACTCCTGCTCGCATCTTTCGTTTTCTAGTGTCTATTTCATTGTTCTCAGTGCTGTGGACTGCGTAACACTGCAGGACATCATTCTAGCAAGACCCTTTAAACAGGCTACATGCACGAAGTATACCACAGCTCTATCATCGTGATCAACATCATCGACGGATGAATTCCTCTACAAGGCCAAAGTCAGTGACACACAAAGAGATCTCCCATTAGGTAGAAACATCGTCACTTGTGTCTACTTGCGGCTGCTCTCATTTCTCCCCACTGCAGGCTGTCATTCCACTCAGAGAGAAGTACTTGGAATGTCGTCCCTTCCTGAATCGGTAGGTTCCTCCTCTGTATCTGACATACTTGTGTTGCATGGACGAATCAGGTAGCTGAACAAACATCAATCAAACATTTCTTCAATCAATATGACAAAATTTCTTGTATCTTAACCGGATGCGAGTATGCTTATATAAATCATTTGATTAAACCGGCGAGACACAAAAATAACGGGACCGATCGAATCGCAGGGAAGCTGATGTCTTTATATCCTATTAACGAGTTATACCCACGGACATAAGTAATTGCGCAAGGAAACAAGTTAAAAACAACTCAGAGATAAACTTAAGCCTAAAGTAATACGTGTGCCGCAGATAAGAATGTGTGACGTAGCTGACGAGGAGTTGAGTTACTAACTCCTAGTCCTTCCCTTTGGGCGAGGCCCGTCGCGCGAGTCAATAAAAACAGTAGGAAAAAAACAATTGATGTTATCGCGCTGCGCGGAACTCCGGGAATGTCCCTTGAGTGAATCACACGAAAAGCAGCATCAAATTTTTTTTCGCGAATTGTTTTTGAATCGCGCGACGGTCGTCGTTAACAATAAGGATCGGGCTGTTCGTAGTCTAATCTCGAGGCTACATCTAAATAAACCAAACAGGAAAGAGTTCTCTTGCTACTCACATGATGTCACCGATTTGTAACTGAAACTCAGGATTGGGGTTGACAACCACGTAAGAGTTACCTAACCTGTGAGTCATATCAGCTGCAAAAAAAGTATAACAATCTTTACTATGAGGTACTCACGGTGTAAATTTTTTTTAGTTATTTACTTTACGAGCTCTATCACAATGAACTGCAGGTACCAAATGACATCAGTAGCATAAAAAAATATAAGAATGTTCTTTTGCCATCCATCAGAGAAATAAAAGGAGAAGGAGGAACTATAAGCGGCTATCACAAGTTGGGGTTGACACTTGTCCGAAGGTATCTCCAATTGTCACAGTGATAAAAAAAAATGATAACACATACTAATAATTATGAAAGCCCTGATAGCTAGCTCCTATTGTGTAGAAATTTGCTAAAAAGAATAATTTCCATCCAAAGCAACACAAAAAACAATTCATCTGGATTCCACAGAGTCGCATAGATTGTAACAGACACGTCTTTCCTTGAATCTGACAACTACTTTTGCTGTGGTTGTCAGAATGTCAGAGGTCCTTTTACAAATTGCCCTAACCCGGACAATGAGACCATAAGATCGCCCCACCCCCCCCCCCTCACTTTGTATACGCCTCAACTTACGAGTTCCAGTGATGTTCAAAACTTTCATCCTGTGCTCGATGATGTCCGAGATGTCCCTAGTCTCCTTCTTTCTCATCCTTGGGAAGGCATCAACACTGTCCTCCTGAGTAACAACACAAAGACGGAAACGGTAGCATAAATTGCTGGTAGAAGAGTCAATTTTATCCAAATGTAAGCAAAGTATTTCGTCTTCGTTGCACCCGTTGTTTGGGAGAGGAAAAATAGTTATGCAAAAAGATCTATGATCTTTCAAGAATTGAGGATTTATTAAGAGACAAATACGCAAATTTTTTTCATTGTTAACAATGGGCAAATGATCTTTCAGGTGAGGTCCTAAACCTTCACAACTAATGTGACAGCAAAGCAATGTAAGTCAACACAGGTGCCGCGTTGTACTCCATAAGTTCTTAATTACCTCTGGAATATGTGATCGATAGAGGCCAATAGGAATGGCAAACGTTGTCGAGCAAAGTCGCTGAAAAAGCCTTCCATACGTTTCGATCCAAATGTTATCTTCAGTGACTTTCAGCTGGTGAAAAACATAAAAAGCGTGTCTCAACAGTTATAAGAAATTTGCATCGTCTGGTATGCAATGTCGATGATACTTTTAAAACACGATTTCATTTTCGGCTGAGGTTAATTTCAACCATGTCATGTTTTTAAGAGCAGTCAGTTCAGATAAAGTGGTGAATATAATCCAGGATGTCACTTGTTTTGCTTTTCATCACTCTGTGACTAGTTTAAACAAACTTAAGCAACCTCCTCGACCAGTCAAATGCGAAACTTGACTAATGGTTATTTGCTTGTTTTCCTTCGAGTTTTCATTGGTTCATGGAAATTATTCTGATCTACAGTTGGTTTTGAGCGTGGGAGACTTGAAACGAAAATCTCTTCAAAAGCGTTATGCAATGCTGACTGAAACACACTGTAATGTATGTATAACAACATAAAACTAAGAGTTCTTTCCGCTTGACGTTTCCTTACTGAAGAGAGATATCCTGATCCAGGCGATTGTTCACAGCCTAACAGAAGTCTGACCAGGTAGATCATGTATTCCTTCACAAATGCCTACAATGAACGAGTAGGCGGGTTAACATCGAGCACACATTAGTGATACAATCAGGGGTGTAACGAGGGGGGAAGGTGTTGTTTTGTTGTGCATATTACCATTTATGTCAAGACAATACTGACAGACCTGACATACCTTGAAATACTAGTAAAAGCGTAACGAGCTCTCTCCACCCCTCCACCCACAAAAGAATCCTGCCAACGCCCCCAAGAATACCTTCGGCCTCACCAGTAAGTTTATGACCTCTATTTTTCCACATATAGCAACTTAGTTCTGCTTTACTTAACTTTGCAACAGTTTTTAGTTAGAAGATTTTGCCAAACTGCGAAAGTTTCTTCAGTCTCTTGTTCAACTTTCCTACATTTCCTTGATAAAAGGGTTCCGCAATGAATTTCAAACCACAAATTTTTAAAATAAATAATAAATTTCTGTGATGTCTAATGCCTCTGTGTTTAAACAAGGGAAAGCCCAAAGCAATTGATATAAAATATTTATCTACTATAACGTAAATAAGTCTCATCTGACAAGAAAAAGTTTACACTAAGCCTCCTTATAAAATATCATTGACGTCGCCCATGGCTTATTGACAAATTGTTTCTACAATGATTGCATAAAATTCAAATGATGAAAAATAACCAAGAAAACATACAGACCTGATACAGCAGGGTATCCAGCATGCTCATGCTGAACACGTGACCGGCAGCAAAGGGTTCACGGAACATATAGTTTAAATGGTCTTTATTCTGCTGTTTGATTCTTCTCTAAAGAGAAAAGGTACATAAATGAGTTTCAGAGAAAAACTAAAACTGTACTTTGTCATTTGATTGTGCTTAATACCTTAGTCAACCGTTTACTGAACTGTCTTATTTCACTTTTCGGACCTATCTTTTCACATGTAAGAATTACTTTTAAGGGTCCCAGCATTAATCAATCATTTCCAAGAGACCTCTTAAATTTCTAACTAATTTTTACAATGATAAACTAATGCAAATTAATGGAACAACTCGGCGAAATCTAAAACCTGGTCTGCAGACAAATGGACAAATTCTTCTCTCTCCCAAGAAAAGGTGGTCTGCATTTTGCAACAAAAACAATCACGGAGAGCTTCAAACTTCACAAGCTTGAGCAAAGACTATATAGTCAAAATATTCAAACAACAGAGATGAATCACGATTAGCATTTTAACTCAAGGACTTATTAAAGTACCTTGACACTCTCTCTGAAGCTCCGTGTTTTAAAACTAGCAAGTGATTCGCTTTGTAATCCAGGAGGTAGGGTTACATCGGCATTGAACTTCATGAAGCGCATGTTAGACGCATGTGTCAGCTCCACAATCAGAGTCGCTCTTGGAAAACATCTGCCAAAGGAAAAATCTGTTTCACCACAAGTTGTCGACTTACATACTTTCTCAATTATCTCAGCGTTAGCGAGAGAATTTTCTAACTCACACAAAGTCTTCTTCACTTCTGTGCAAAAGACACAAGCGCAAAGGATATCACTGAGCGCAAAGGATATCACTGAGCGCAAAGGACACAAGCGCAAAGGACAAAAAGGTTTTGGAGCAAATTGTTTCAATGCAAGTCTTCAGCCGCTTAGCTTTTCAATCCCTCGGCAAAACTAGTCGTCGATAATCTCTTAAGCCGGCGGTAAGAAGCTTCATTGAAGTTAGAAAGTCGTGGTGCGACAACGCATAAACCACCAGCCAAGAAAAGAGAAAGTGCGATTAAGGCCTAAGGCCCGGCTAGCTGTGGAGTTCCTTGTAGCTCAGAGGTAGAGCATCAGAGAGCGAAAGGTCCAGGATGCGATTCCTCTGAGAGGAATCGGAATTTTTTATTTGTCCCATGCTTCTGGCAGGGCATATTACATTGTTATTTCATGACCACGCTCAAAATTAACCGTCCTTCTTAGGTAGGATCCATTCAGTTGCTAGAAACGCAATTAGAAAAATGCTTTGGCCTTAATATTCTGTAACAAGAGTACACAATAACGGGATCAATATCAGTATCTGAGTATCTGGGCAACTGCCCACCTACCCCTCCCCTAACTCAACAACAGTCAATTGATAACAAGTTAGGGTTAATGTTGGATTAGGGGAGCGGTAGGTGGGCAGTTGCCCAGATACTGATATTGATCACGATAACGTACAACTGTCTCATACCTGTAGATGCTCTGCACTTCTACGATGGTACTGGCATCTGCCATGTGCTCCTCGTCATACATCTGGCCTTGAGATCGATAGCCTACAACTACTATACTGTCTGCATGAAGGCAACCAGCCTTGAGAAGGTCGTCCAAACTGAAAGCAAATCATTCAGTAATTTTCAATACAGTAATATCAAAAGTAATTCAGGGATGCAATGGTTTTGCTTCACTACGGTCTGTGATTGGTCTACAAAACTCGCGCCATCCTTTCGACCAATCTGAGTGGCAAAACTAAATCAATCGCAAATTGTTCACTCTTGCTTTCCCACACGAAATTTTGTTTACATGAACTGTATTTGATATGAGTTCCCAGTGGCCACAAGTCACATTTTCTTTCGAATTGAGTTTTGCAACACTCAAACGGTGTTCTAACGAGTAAATTATTTATCATTAATTCAATTTAACCTTTCGCATTAAAAGCAGAAAGACAGCAAATAAGTGAAACAAATAATAAGTTTCCATTTTAAGCAAATAAACGAGGTTGTGTCGACTTGCAGCTCAAAGGATTTTTCTTACCTATTTATGGTTCCTTGAATATAATACAGCATGGGAAAGTGACGCACAGCCATTAAGAAGTCTTCACTGGGCCTGTAGATTAAACGCAGGTTTCCTTCAAATAAGCTGTGAACTGTAGCTTCATGTACACTTGTGACGTATTCCAAAAAAATAGAATACGTAAAAATATGATAATTATCATAATTATCAATAAACATTTAATGATTTGTCAATAGACCAGGTTAATAGCTACGACTCGAATCAATTGCAGTGTCAACGAGAACTTTGTCTCAGTAGAAGTAAATGTCAAGACGACAGTTTGCTTAATGAACCTAAACAAATATTAGAGTAAACCGAAAAGGAAAGGGCAAGAATAACCCTCTCCACCCTTAAATAAGCATTCATATTCTCCACACTGTTCATTTCACATTTCCTATGGCACTAATAAGAAGAATTTGATTGACAATCAAGAGCTTCTTAGATAGGTGATCATTTCCTTCATTCTCATAACTTCTACATATGATTTATGGGTTACATTTCCTATGGCACTAGTAAGGAGAAATTGTTTGACAATCAAGAGCTTCTTAGATAGGTGATCATTTCCTTCATTCTCATAACTTCTACATATGATTTATGAGTAATACTGTTGGGAGAATTAGAAGCCAGACACTCTTTGAGGTTAAAGGGTCAAAAGAAAAAAAAATGCAAATGCCCATTGTAGCTCTTTCAAACCATGAGATTCACTGTAAGAAAGAATCTAAATAAAACCAGTCAGAAACGAATCAATCCAAAACTACAGTGGTGACAGTAAAGATAAAAAAAACAAGTTGTTTCTCGATTTCTTTTTTCTCCAATACATTCAGGCCAAAAGTCGTGGAATTAGCTAAGTCATATACGCAGAAGTTGAATTTACTTAAATCCTTGTATTTCCTTCCTATACAGGCAAGAATTGATTTCTATTTTAAGGTTATTCTGCCGTCTGTGACATATGGTATGTTAGTTTGGGGCTCTTGTGGTCGAGTATTTTTCTCAAGCTTAGAATCTATACATGTTAGAGCGGCGAAAATAATATTTAACTTGGATTGGTGTACTCCAAGCAAGGAGGTTCTTGCCACAGTAAAATGGAATACCTTAGAGATTATGTATGAGAAACGATTACTAATCTTAGCGCATCAGGCTTATTATAATCTTTTGCCACGTCCTATGAGCCGTCACTTTGAAAAGTATGTAAGTAGCTACGACTTCAGGAGGAAAATGACATTTAAGTTACCTAGACCTAAGACCGATATGGTCAAGAAATCATGCTCATACAAGTCAATTACTCGGTGGAATGCTCTGGAAAATCAAATGAGATCAATTCAAGACGTTGACGTTTTTAAAAAGTCACTCAAGTGTATTTTTAAGCCACGTATGTTATGATGATGTACTATGTAGAATTTTTATTGTTGAAAATATGTAGAAATCTTACACTGGTCTTCTTATAATTAGTTAGGAATTTAGTTTTATTGGATTTAGTTAGGAATTTAGTTTTATTGTCCGTACACGACCACATCAGCTTTTGCTGAATTTTTTATCGTGTTTAAATAAATGCTGTTGTTGTTGTTGTTGTTGTTGTGGCTGCTATTGTATATTTAACAAATAGATTCCAAGTTGCCGTGCGTCTGTTCAGTAATAGATCACAGATGACGTCCAAATGTGGTAAGAACAAATAAGTGGCACATGAGGCGCAGCCGAGTGTGTCACTGATGTTCTTACTACATTTTGACGTCCTCTGTGATCTGTTACTGAACAGACGCACGGCAACTTGGAATCTATTTGTTTTGTATAATAAAGAATTTTAAAAAGTTTTGATGATGACGTCATCTATACGTCTGTCCTCCAATAGATCATAAGTGAGAACCAATCAGAATGCGTGCATAACTGAGCCTATTATATAAAATACCATAAACTGGTACTTACTCTTCTTTCAGGAGAAGTACTATGGGTTTAAGGGTGCACTTGGGCCGCTGATAAGCTCTGAGGGGCAAAATAAAGTTGTACAATCCAGCTTCGGCTACAGGTGACGCCACAATGATAGCTCCCTTTTGTCTCTGATGTAATCTGGCACTGTCATTCAGATCACGGTCTAAACAGGCCTGAAAACAAATCCCAAAATCCACATGATTTTCCCGCAGAAATTTGAGTGCGGTAAGTTAAATAAGACCTGTTCCTCGAGTTACTGTTCTTCTTTTATTTCCTGTTTCATTTCCCTTAAACCCTCCCGAGGAGGAATTATAAACGAATTCCTAAAAGCAAAAATATTCATCAAGAAATAGTTTTATAATCTAAAGTATTCGAAGTTACAATAACTTTTATAGAAATAGGGCTAAATAACCCTGACACTCATTAATCACATGAAGCCTGTTCCAGAAGCATTTAGTTCAGCTAGATCATAAAGCTTACCTCATTTCTGAGCCCTAAACAGCAGACTTTTTTAGGAGTTTTCAGAAGATGACATCTGATAGGAGTGCGGCCAATATACAAAGAACAAGGAGGAACTCCAGCCACATAGCTAGCAAAGGAAAACAGTCAAGTTCAATGTGAAGCTTGCCAAATGTAACGCAATATTTTATTATCCCAAGTGGAAGACGGGTTTTCTCCCTCTCCAGTTAGATATCACAATCCAGCTTCGTCCTTCCCTGATTACAAGAACTTATAAATTGTCAAGACCTTGCTTTGGGATTTGCATGTCAAAAACAAAACTAAACAAAACAAACAAAATCCTCCTCAGAGAATGGCAGCTGGAAATTCAAATAACTAAACATTACACAATACATAAGAAATTCCTACCAGTATCATAACAGGAAAAATATCCTCTATTTATTACCTGGGTATCCTACTGGTGTCATCCAGCAAACTAAATTCCTGTTCTTCGTGTTCTTCCTCCTCGGAATCTGATTCATTGGGTACATACACAGAATTTGATGATCGTCTTGAGTCTGCTATGTCAAAAACGACTTCTTTAAATCCTCGTGATGGTTTCATGGAAGAAGTTCCCTGCTCTAGTTTGACTGATGAAGATGATGTCACTTGATCAGTGGAGCTGGCATGTCCAACACCATTAGCAGGAGCCTCGTCTAGGTACTTAAGTCCTACTGGAGAAGAATGGTAAGGCTGTGGTCAAATCTGGTCAATCTGTGGCCATTACCATAAACTTAAACCACTGGTTAGAAATTTCATCAATGAATATTTTATGGTCTAAGCTCACCCAAAGTCACCATAAAGATTAAGAAAAATAACAATTGTTTCTAAAAGAGAATACTAGCAACTATCTGATTAATGGAATTGCAGTGTGCTGGTTTGCCTGTGGATGTAACAATTAGAGAGATCAATGTGTCCCCTTGCAAAATCCCCACTAATATGAGAGTAAAGCCTTCATCAGCATTACAGACAAGACCCAAAGTCTATCCCATTTGGGCGAAAATGGTCATCATAGCTCCCGAACATAAACAATATTAAATCACACTTCATGCTTGAAGAAGAAAGCATAAGGAGAAAAAAAAATGGTAAGCATCCCAAATGATAATAACTGGTATTTTTAGAGGAGATACACCAAAAAATAAAACAATAGACATCAAATGAATATCCCCGGAAATTATTGTACTATCAATTTGATGGCACAACTCCACATAGGTTTCATTTGAAAACAAAAACAATGGAATGAGTGTGTTAGCATTTGAACACCTAAATTCATACCAAAAATGAGGCATTGTCATTGTTGGGAAATACTCTTGACATTTCAAGGTTGAAACTCCCTGTTTACAAAAGAAGGTAATAATGCTATATTTTCATTCCTCAAAACAAAATATACTGAATGTGCATCTTGGTATGCTCATTTTGATATAAGTAATATCCTTTCTTCAGAACACCTGATCGATTATAATTTAGAACATGAACATGTTGTGACTTCTGAGTATTACCTGCTTCAACAGAGTCGGTATTCAGCTCAAGAGCCACAGAGCTTGCAGTAATAAATGAATCGTTCTTGTGCCTAAAGCTTCCCTTAAATAAACTGACTGGCTTTTTTGGCTCTTTGTAGGCTTTAAATGCTGTGTCTTCTTCACTGGAGATGGCAATGTAGAAACATCTATCCTCAGTACTCATTTTGTGGTTTGGACCAGGATTTAACAGAATACGAGAACCTTTTCCAATTGAACGAACTGCAAAGAGTGTCACACCATATCTGGAAGAGAAAAGTTTGCAAATGGTGGAAACGTCCACTTCTAAAGAAATCTTCACATTCATTGATTGTCTGAAACCCTGACAAAAGTTAGAATCCATTTAAACAACCGACCAAAGAGTTGTCTGGAACTTCCCTGTTTCACATGATGATAAAAATTTGAGGACTACCACTTCACAGTAATCAAAAAAAGTCATTGCTCACTTCTTGTGTGCATGAAAAGCAGCATGCATAAATGTCTTTTGTGCATATGGTCTAAAGATCTTGCTGTCCCCCAGGCGGATGTCATAAATTTCATTTCCCGCACATTTACCATACATCTCATGCCAATCTTCTGATCCACTCCTAATTGACAAAAAAATTAAAGGCAGATTAGCGATATGCATCAATCTACTCAGTGAGTAGAATAAAAACATGATGGCAATGTTGTTGAAAACTGCAAGCAGGCAACCAGAAACTCTACACACATTCCAGGGTAAGAATAATCAATAAGAGTGCATATCTCACTTACTGTTCATGAAGGGTGTGAAGAAGTAGAGTGAAAAACGTGGAAATTCCTGGACACACACAGTTACTAGCCAAGAGGGCATGTTTCACTTCATCTTCACAGACAACATGCTCTGAAAACAACAATAACACAATAATATCAATTGAAAGAGTTACCATCTGTGAAAGGTTACAGGCTCTGTGCTCTCATACCAACCGATGCTAACTGAACAATTTTCTTTGTATTTTCCAAAAACAATGGAAGCCAAATTAATGCTTTTAACCCTTTCACTCTCATGATCCCACTGATAAATTTTCTTACTGCCCTCCATACAATTCTTAATATGATGTTACTTCAGATAATTTTGTATTGAATCAACTACTAGCCTCCAATTGATATTTTTCTTTATTCCCATCACTTGTCTGCTTGATATAGTGCTGATAATGTAAGGAGAAATTGTCTCTTGGTCACTCATGGGAGTTAAGGGGTTAGGTAAATAGCTCTACAGAAATTTGATTTTAGTAACTAGCACTATAGAAACTTGAGTCAACAAAAAGTTATTGGCCTCAAATTGGCATTTTCTTAGTGATTAGGATTCTCGCCAGTGATTGATCAAGTAAGGGCCATCCACAAACAATGGCTTTAAATTAAATATTCAAAAGATGGGAATATCCATTCTCTAACCTGCAAAGCTGACATGAAACTTGTTCTCTGGCTTGAGGATCTGTACATACAATGGAGTAGCAGGAGCAAAGTCCTGAATAGCCCATGTCCTCAAAATGGTGTGCTTGTCCTAAAAGAGATCAGATGTTTCATTCACAACATCCACATCACAGTACCTTCACATAAAAATGGGCTGATGATCTACGAGATTTCTCTATCACTTAGGAAGAAACATTCATTAATTCCTTGGAATTTTCATGACCATAAAACCAAAATATTCTGCCAAAAGGACTAAAGTATTTCTCATCACTTGCTTAACCTGCAAGTAAATTAGACAGAAAGAGAAGGACAGTAATTGACCATTCATGATCCTCATTCCAACTTACAGCAGCCTCTCTGTCATCTGCATATCTGTCAGTAAGGATGAAGCATCCTTCAGCATCCTCAACCCTAAGAATAAAGCATAAAATTAAATTAAACATCGCAATATGGCAATAAATAGGCTCACCAGAGTATAACTGGGCACTGGGGCACTGTGGCACTGGACTTGTGACCAGGTGGTCCTGGGTTTCAACCCCCGAACTTGCTCTTCACTGGACTGATGATTAATTGCCGTGAGTTCAACCCTTTGTACTTTGTACACATCTAAGCAATTTTTCTTACCTGGCTCTTATAAGGTCTTCATCAATGAGTGCAGATCCCTTTAAAAACGTGACTCTCTGTGACCAATGGGGTACCTGTAGGAGAATTCTCAGTGTGCTGTCAAGCTCTGATGGACAGAGCAAAACCACATGGGCATCCTATAAGATAACAGCAAAAGCTACAATGAAGGCTTAATAGCTCATAACTTTAGTAACTTTTGGTAGCTTTCTAGTCAGAACAGTCCATCACAAGTGAACCCAGTGAATATGAAAAGTCATTAATTTCATCTATGATCCTGGACTTAATATGTATCATGACACACTGCTTACAAAAACTATAGATCACTTCAAAAAGGGGAATATAATAATTTCTTTCATGATGTGGTCACTTCAGATGTGGATCACAACTGAATGCTACTAATCCCCTTCAGGCAATGAGGTCAATTGGCAATTCACACATGACTTCACCCTAACAAAATCAACAAGGACAGTGAAACTAAAATCCCAGAAGCATGGATACAAACTATCTGCAAAGAGAACAGTGAGAGAGTTGTGAAGCAGCAGACCACAGAGGGAACCTGATCTATGCTTGTATTTATTTAATTTACCTGCAATTTCAGATCTTTCATTGAACATGCAGTCATTAAACTAATAAAGAAAATGAACAAACCTGCAATCTGGTATCAGCATAAAACTCATTCAAGAAGTCAATCAGCATAGTTGGCCGGAGTATTGTTGCACATAATACCACATGTTTTTCAGAACCAGCCAGCATGCGATTAAATGTACCACCCTCTTTCTGACGAGAGACCAGCAAGAAAGCCAGCTGCTCCAACTAAGAAAAGAATTCAAAATTTCAAAAAAATTTTAAAAAAAAGTAAAATTAAATTTACAGCAATCATTATAGACTGATAAGGTTACCAGTGCTCTAAATTCTCCTGAGTACCCTCAAGACTGCCAAAACTTAATTTCAGAGATAATTTACCAAATTAAATTTCACTTTAACAAAAATTGAAGTAACTCCCAAGAAGCACATCTAGGCTAAATTTCTTATTTTTTAGTAATTGCCAAGGGGCAAACTGAAAGACTTTTCCTATATGAAGCAATTTTATAAACTTTTCTGTATTTCTTCTGACTTTGTTAGCTACTAAGGGACTGAATCAGGGAATGCATTCTATTTTGCCAAGTGTTTGTCCAGTTATAGGTCACAGATCATCATAGGTGGTGTCAAAATGTATTTAAAAAATGGATATTGAAGCCAGAGGCGACCATCTAATCAGCAAGGCTTTCCATTGCTAAATGTGGAAATATCTCATCAACATTTTCAAACCTCAGCACCAATTTGTTGCACTACACCTGCTGTGTACCCTGACATATCAAAACCAACCACCCATCAGAGGGTCTGTAATGTACAGTTTATCTAATGGACAAATTTTCAATCACAATCAGGTAATCTGCCTAAGTTTCATCTGGTATTGTTTTTGCTATGCATTTTAATTGGTCTTAAAAGTTGCACCACATTTTCCACTAATCAGAATTAAGCAATACAAGTTTTGCTGCATCTGTTTTCCTGCACTTGATGCAGTTATCTTGTTTTAACTTGAAGTTTTTATCTGCTCTTAGAAACATTTTCTTTTGTTCCTAATTGCCTGTTGTGAGCACTTTTGGTTTTGCAACACTTGATTGCAATGCACACCATCTGCAAGGCAATTCTCCACTTATCAGTACACAATTAAACCATACAACTTTGTGTTCCCTTACTCCCTCAACAGATCCTCACCTCAATAGGTAGCATAATGATAGCACAGGCAATCATTATCATAACAAATGTCTGTGCTGGCCAGTCACTTGGAGTGAATTCACCATAGCCCACTGTGCTAAACGTCACCATCACAAACCAGATACACACAAAAAAACTCCACTGTGAAGCAGGTCTCTCAAGGTGATGAATACCACATATTCTGTAATATGAACAGTTGAATAATTTATTCATTTGTAAAGGCAATTACAGTACAGAAAAAATTGTATTATACTTTCAATCCAGAAATATTTCAATTTCTTCCCACACCAAACTGATAACTTCTAAGGTGATAACATTCTTATCATTAAGACTTACCCAGTAAATAATATACATAACACAGTTCCAACCACTACAAGAACCTTTTGGGATACTGCTGACTGCTGACGCAAAGCTAGTCGGTGAAGATCATTCTATAAAGCAATAAAGGGTCACGAAAAAAGTCAATTCTGCATGAGCACAAACATGTACATGTAGGTGCATGTTATGAATGAACATGTGTTCATCAAGTTAAAATTAGCAAAGGATGCAAAGTTCTTCCCTATAATAATCAGTTATACTTACAAGCATTGCATCTAATGCATTCTTGGCAAGCCAAATATTCAAAAACAGAGGTACCCACAAATTTCTTAGTCTGCTATAAAATATCTGCAAAAGAATGTTAGTTAGCTTAGTAAGCAAAGTATTTCAATGAAAACAAACACTTCAAATCTCTATGAAAAATGGACAGATTTCTTCAAATATTTTTTAACAACTCTTATACATTTATAAATAATACTTACAGATATTAAGAAAGGCATTCCTAGCAAAATCTCAGCAATAACACGACTATTTACAATTTGACCAATGACAGAACCTCCCTACAAATTAGGAAAAAAGGAAATAAATGATAAATAAACATTGCATGATGAGTAACAAATCAAATGTCTTTCAAATCATGTGCATTAATATGGAGAATTACTTGACAGTACCTTGAAGGTCAAATAACTAAGTAAGATTGCTTCCAGTATACTGTACACTGCAATGATTGTCTGCAAATCAAACAAAGAAAATAATCCAGTGATGTTGACTGGCTTCAAGTTCCACCTGGCTCCTTGTGGTTTTCATGTTCACTCAAAGTCTTTAAGCCATACATTGTAAATTGGAAAGTTTGACATATTAAGAACCTCCTCATATCATCCTGATAGACATGGCTTGCCTTGACTCTTCAAAATCTCAATCTTCCCTCACTGCTCTCCCGTCATTTAAATGATGAATATGTGTTTCAATGAGAATTTAGGTTGGTCCAGTAAAGTTTGAAAACAGGGAGTTTTAGGTATGGGCACTTCAGCTCCATTTCAGAAGATAAAATTTGAGAGGACACACCATCTTTCTCTTAGTAACCCAACATTAAATTTCCCCTGGCATTGTTAGTTTTCAGGCTGAAATGTCTCAATTGAAGAGTAAAAAACTGTGTCCCACCAACTAAACCAGCCTGGTTACCAATGTCATGTGACCAGATCAGAAGAATGTAACTGGTTAACATACACTTGTAGGTTCAATATCAGTATCTGAGAAACTGCACACCTTACCCTCCCCTAACCCAAAAACAGTCCACTGATAACAAGTTAGGGTTGATATTGGGTTAGGTGAGGGGTCGGTGCATAGTTGCTAAGATTTTGACACTGATTCCACTTCTACCTGTACAATCCATATCAAATGGGGTCTTTCAACCCATAGCAATGACCACCAATAACTGCAAGAGCGAGAAATAGTAGATGCTATTATGCTAAACCCCTAAGATATTAATTAAGCATCAGAGATCAGAGGATCAGAGAATATTCTAGAATTCAGTGATGCAAGCTGTCACCATTTTTATCACCATGCCAAGTGAAAAATATATTCAGGAACTAAAGTTTCAGCAAAAGCAGCCAATTGGTGACCAAAAAATTTTTAAAAAAATGAAACATTTGAAAGTGTTGCACCTGTACCTTTCTTTTCCTCACTAGAAGTCTATGTAATACTACAAGAAGTGTCCTCCCATCGATATGATGTGTTATTCTTTAGCATCTAAACTTTTTTTTTCTGGCCACCATATTACAATGACAGGCCCCGCCACAATGTGACTTTTAGAAAAAATGACCTTTAAGCCCTGTAATTGCTACAATTCAATTTAGACAAGAAGAGTATTCCCCTGGCTGTCCTTTGACCCCTTAACCCCTAGGAGTGACTAGCATCTAATTTCTCCTTTCAAATTACTAACTGAATCACAGCAATTAATGTCCTGAGAATAAAGTAAATGATCGCCAACTAAAAAAGAAACTTTTGATTGTTAAACAAATTCTCCTTGTCAGCACCTTGGTAAATGTACAGAGAACATTATGGAGAATATGAATACTGATGTTAGGGTGTAAAGGGTGAACCCTATTTTCCTTCAAATAAATTCTGTACTAAATGCCGTGATGTATGAAACTCAAGTATGTTCTTTTTAAAGCAAAATACAGAATATAAAACCTTACTTCTCTCCTTCATGATATACAGGACAAGCCCACTCACGGTTGGCAGTTCTGTTATCTGGACAACCATATCTGTTAATTGAGGTCAAAATAAAAAAAAAACAAGTAAGTGCAATCATTATCACATTGGTAAAAGTTGAAGTCTTTATTGATGGTACAGTCAAACCTCAATTATATTGGCCCACAGGGACTGGGCTGAGTACTCCAGGTAATTAAGAGTTTGGATGACCAGAAATATGAATATTAATGGGCCAAAAATGAAAAGGAATACATTTCATTTAATCAATATTATGCAATAATTAAAGTAAATTCTCAAATCATCGTGCATTGTGCTTTCAAGTATATAAAAAAAAAACCTGTAATAAGTGACTGCTTATTAAAGGTTTGACTGTATTCCCTAGAAGCAACAGAGGGCTTTTTCCACTTTTAAACAGCCGTGTTCATGCACCCCTTTAAAGATTAGAACCTTGACTAAAGATCAAATAAGTCATTTATTCTCAAGTGAAGAAGATAATTATTGTTTGAAGCTCTTTAAGTAAAATACTAATAAATAGCCATGTACTTACCCACCAGCTCGATTTGGATCTAAATCATAGCAGCCTCGTACAACATACAATACACATGACACTATCTTCAGGATGAAGCGAAATATCTGCCATCTTATACCTGGTTAAGCAATTGATCAAAGCTGTTAACACTGGGATAAATTTTAGGTGGATATATCAAACTAAACAGGTTGATGAAACAAGGTATAGTTTTTGTCCTTAATTAACATGTGTTGTTAACCTTTAGTGAGTTATTTTAACCTCTTAAACTTTTAAGGAATTTTGGATTGGAACTTGTGTCAACGTATCATTTTTTCCATTTACATTTTTAAAGTTTCTGCAATTCTCACATTATTCAGTTTAATATTCAATCCAGTTTCAACCCAGCTAGGTTTAGTTGCTGGTAAAAGTAGTGTCAGTAGTAAAATGATGATCTGATCACATGAGAAGTGCCCTGATGACAATCTTTTTGCTTCACTTCCTATTAAGGATGAAGCCATTAAGAATTGACTGGCAATTATTTTTTTTAGGTAATTTATCAATATCAAATTAGATTGCTTATTTAGGAATCAATATACAAGCTGGGTGAAAATGTTTAAGTTAAAAAAGAGTGTAATTTATATGCAGAACTGACACAATTAATTGTCACAAGAAAGTACTGAATGAAATTAATGTTAATTTTAGTGCATGTATTAATAAGTCAAGAGTGATTTGATTTCTTGTTATTAATATCACTTACTAGATCTTTGATCAGTTACAAAATAGAATTTAACTCTTTCTTTAAATGACTTGTCATGGACATAGTGCTCTACACGAACCCTGTGAAATTGAAAAGTTATTTGAGAAATTTTGACATTTTTTAGAATTAAAGCATATAATTATCTAACCCTTCATTACAACACAATGTCCTGTCACAGCAGTTATGATGTAGCAGATCTACAAACAGTAAATCAGGCAACTACAGTTTCAAGGGTGAAATTCATAATTAAGTATTATTTAGAATTGCTTTGCTTTAACCCTGTAACTCCCATGAGCCACCATGAGCAAGTTGCACCCCCCCTCCCCTCTCCCTCCCCCTCTCAACCATTCCAGCAAATCATGAAGATTTCCAGACAGCTTTTCTGATACCCATTCAGACTTATGGCAGGAGAGACATTGTGTGGGCAAAAACATCTTGCCTTAGTTATGACAAACCTATAAGTGGGTCAAGGGTAATGCAATAAATTGTGCCACAGCTACACTCCCAGACATATTTGCTTTCCTCCCTGGCTCTCTTAATGTTAATTAACCCTTTAACTCCCAGAAGTGATTAACATAAAACTTCTCCCTACAATATCCATACATTATTCAGCAAACAGGTAATGAGAATATTCAAACTTATTGGGTAGAAGTTGCTATCTTGATCTAGCACCACATTCTCATAACTAATTTACAAGGAAATGTGTAGTAGCTAGAGGAGAGAATTAACAAACAGATCTTGGGAGTTAGAGGGTTAACAACATCAGAAACGAGAGGGACACAAGAACATCATAAGTAAGTCCCAAATAAATATGTCTTGCTGTGTAGCTGCTGGCAATTTTTCTGTCCATGTAAGGCATAATATTGTTGATTGTATACTACCCAGTTAAACACACATATATCCCCCAGAGACTCCTGCCACCTGTCAGAATCTAATCCTTTTTATCTGGGGCTGTACTATAGAAGGGCCTATATGCCACACATGACAAACTTTTCTCGTGGGGCACTGTGTGTCACAAAGAACTTGTCGCCCTTGATTTGTATGACAATAGACTCCTTGCACCCTGCAGTGCTTTTAGAAGCATAGCCCTACTGCAAACAGCAATTTTGTTACCATTGCATGACTTCTGATTATATGTTTCAAAAGCTGTAATTTCATTTGTTGATTTTGTATAATAATAAATTAAAGTGTTCTGTAAGTTCATGAATCATTAACAGCAAAGTGGGTGTCAATTCTATATTTTTTTAGCATTACACTTGACTGAAAAGACAACATATGCCATCAAAACACAATACTGCTTAAAGGCTGAAAAAGTACAAGAAATATTTTTAAAATCTTTTAAGATATTACTGGATATATAATTTCAACCTTCTTATTATTCAAAACAGCTTTCTAATGGACAGAAAAATCATTGGATGGGGATTAAATTCTATAAAGTTCACTTCAGACCACACCTATCACACCCATCACAGCCCTAAAGCCTCCTTCAATTTGCATGGAGTATATTTCCTGCTTTAAAATTTATTCAAACAAGCACACCATTAGTAAAATATCATGCAACTTTATGTTGACAAATATAAGAATATTCTGTCATATTTAATTGCAGATGAATTAACTGTGACTCACGATTTGTGTTTGTGACTATTGTTTGGGCAAGGAAAAGCTACATCATCCAACCAGAAAAGCTGTAAACTGAATCTTAAAACTAAAATTTTCCTATCATCCTTGAAAATGAGCTGGCACACTCACATTCTCACCCGCTTACACTCAGGTCTGTCAACCATAAATTATTGATCAAATTACAAAAAAATAATTCAACAAATATCAAAGGATATTACTTTCACAAATCAATCCACAAAGGCAAACAATTTCGTCTATACTTTACTCTAAAATTCCAAACCGTCTTCAACATGTCTTAAATAAATAAATAACTCATTATTCAAATCGGTAATTTACTAGCCAAACAAAGGGACAACTTTACTTTCAACAGTCCAATCCGCTTTCAGATAACATTTAGTAATCAATTCAGATGATTAGGCAGCCTTACCTCAAGGAGATTTTTAACAGACTACACCGGCAAAGAAGCTAATGAGATCAATTGTTTTGGGGGAAAACGGCATTAACCCAGCTGCAAATCTTTAAAAGTTTTCGTGGCGCAAAATAAATCTACACTGAAAAAATAAACAAAACCGAATACGTATATATACCCAATTTTAATTAGTATCTTTTTTTATTTCATTCATTTTTGTTTTAATTTCTTTTCCAGGAGAATTTCATAAATAAACGAAAGAACTTAATTCGGTGATCGAAAAGCGACATCTTCTTATCGTATCCGTCACAGTAAGAGGTTCACCGAAAAATGATCCTCTCCTGAATAGTATTTGCAACAAGAGTTGAGTTCGAGAAACAGTTAGCAGCATAGTGCAATTTCAACGTATTTGAACGCGAGAGAAAATAAAAAAATTATCGGGTCTTATAATAAGCGAGTAGGATACGCCTTTAATAATATAAAGTCAAGATTATGAGTCAAGACAGCTTCTAAACAACTCTAAAATAAAGACATGCCACACTTCTTCGGTAGATAATTTACCACGCAACCAGGCATGCATTACTAAAATTAAAATCGCTTTAACTCTATATTTTGTGCCCTTTTCAATGATTTTCGTTCATAGCAATCAACAAATAAGGAAACCTGGTCCAATGGTTTAATCAAAGCAGCTCACTTTGGCCGATAAGAAATTGGTCGTGAAAGGAGCGGGATACTGGTACATCAAAACAAATCAACATTGCGTAAATTTAATGTCAAAAAGAAACATATTTGCCGCCTACCTTTCCTTGTCTTCGCCTTTATCTGACGAGAGGAGATCTTTGAGACGGTACCTAGGGCCAAGAAGATCAGAATCGTTCATAACAGTCGTGGAAGGAACCGACTTGGTGTACTTTACTTTAGTCTGTATCCTAACTTTCTTTCCACCGGTCGCCATATTCTTTTCTTTACGAATACTACGCAGTCATGCGCAATCAATCTGCTCCAATTATTTTCGCGCGAAAATTTACGTTACGAGAAATTATGGAACTCTTCTTTCCTTCCAAAACTGAACCTAAAAACTCCTCAAGTTTCTATCGCACCCGATAGTGCAGCAGACATCATTACTCATCTACAGCTCTCGTCAACACTTCCGAAGATTCATGAATTATTTAGATCACCACCGTCAACCACAGATGTCAAAGTCACATTCTTGGACCCATTGGCTAATGTCGACCAGGGAAGGCGACTTGAGAACAATCTTTGATATATTCTGTCGTTTTTACGATCATTATCATGTTGTTAGCTGCTCCCGAAGAGCAGCTGCTACATCTAATTATTCCTGAAAACTCTTTGTGATTTTTACACAATTTCAGAACTTTTTCCGTAATTAAGAAAATCACCCTTTTCGGCGTCAAAAAGTAGGTTCTGAATGATTCAGGCCATGGCTAATCAAGAAAAACTTAAAACAACCATTATTTGCTTACTCAGTCACACTGTTCTAATGCATCTATAATAGATACCGATTCAAAATAATCATCATTAATAAACTCTGCATATCACTCTGTAAATTGAGATATGAAATGGTCTTTGCCTGAGAAGTAATCGTTCTCAAATGTTCGATCGCGTGACGACTTTCATTGAATAAATTGAAAAACAAATGAAAGATTTCAAAGTTAAAGAATATTTCATGCTGAGCTTAAAGAAAAACCGCAATAAAGAGAATTTGCACGAGATTAACGAACGGATAAGACCTAAAAAAGCGGTTTATTTTAGCTTTATTAACAATGAAATTTTCAACTACCGAGATAAGATTACAATTGAGCAGAAGATATGTCTTTTTAAGGCGGAGGAGATGAGCAAGTTTTTTGGTTATGAAATCTGACCAACGCAATTAACCCAGCTGGAGTCAAGAGGCGGCTTCGTTTCAAAAAAACGACTCTATCGCCTTTTACTTATGGTGTGCCTTTTAAAAATTCACCTTAGGTTTAGAGAGGACTCGGAAAAGTTATGATTCTCATCTTTTTGTTATGATGAACCGACAAGTTTCCGGAAAATCTCTGATAACAAAGGTCTTCTTGTCTTTGCATCTATTAAGAATCATCGCGATGTTTTTCAAAGCCATTGTTAATTTCGCTAAACAAAAGTTTAATGAAGACATCTGCGGAAAGACATCAAAGAGGCCTGCAAAACGTGCAAAATAAAATGGCCTAAAACGCGATCTTTCCAACAACCATCCGTATATTTTCTTCGTCGGATAACACTGGAAATTGGTTTTATGTCAATGAAATATACTGTGCCTGATATAATCCTTACTTGACAATTTCTTTCTTCTCTAGAATTCATGTCTTGGGGTTGAGCATGGCAAAAATAAGCCTCTTGCAAATTTTGCGTCGAATTTAATATGGATACCTAGTCATTTCCCTGCATTAAGGATTCTTTTTTTTTCTTGTTTAATTTTACACAATTTTAAAGACCTCTTGACTTTTTTACGAAGATGTGTTTTTACCTAATGACCAAAGATTAAATTCAAAACAACATCACGAAAAACTGCCTTATACTCATTAAAGAAAACAATCATTCCCCATTTGCAAGAAACACCAGAAAACAAAGCTAAGGAAAATTCCTCTGAAGCTCCAAGACATCCCTCATTGCGGGAGCTGCAAAGGCCCGTCAACATATTTTAGAAGCCTCCGAAGTGTCAACCTCGTTTTCGAGTAGTTATAAACAAAGACCTTTCGCTAACCCTTCGCTTTAGATAACCCTGGAAGCCAAAAAGGCTCGATGTATTTTCAAGATCGGAAAATATCTGAAGCTGCAATAATTTTATCAAAAATTATAAAAGACATTAGATTTGAAAGACGAGAAATGAAAGGCATCGAAAAACGTGACTTTGAATACGAGTAGAAATTGTTGGTTTCTTTCTTCTAATTTTATCAGTCTGTTCCTCGCCGTCGGGAACATAGTTACACCAGACACGAAAATTCTCTTTTCCAGCTTTTTTAGACTGATCAAGAAACGAATAACTTTATTGAGGCTGGCGAGCCAGCAGATGTACTACTAAGGTAAACTCACACACTGGAAGCCGAGGAAATGAATATGAAATTCCCGTTTCCAACACTGAACGTGACTTGAAATTTCTTACAATAATAAAAATTAAACATTGAGTTTCATATTGTTTAGAAAAAAAGAAAAAGATACTAGGAGACCGCTAAAGTTGCGAAAGCAGCGGGGAGCTAATTCAACAAATTCATTGGCTTTCTTTGATATTGTCACAGTTGGACGGTTGCTAAGATTCAGACAAACCTATGAAGTGAATATTTTCGTATTTTACAACTCGCAACTTTCACACTGAAAATGCACAGCCTTTACTAAATATTAAACGTCATATTAAACCACTTAGCGTCGCATGCAGCACTCAAAAATGAATTTTATCACCAAACTTGAAAATTCGGCTGCGTAAATTTTTGTTCAGAATAAACGACCGAAAAATGGTTGGCTTAAGTAATCAATTTGGTCACAAAAATGAATTACTGATCATAGGATTCTCAACTTTTCTCCAGGCAACCGATATATTGATTCTCCGCATCAACACGATAATGTTAAGATAACATTACTCGAGGATGACTGCATACGGGTATGAGTCATAATTTATTTTAGCCCTTCAAACTTTGTTTTTAAATTGATCGATATCTAAAATTTTCGTTAGTTTGGAGAAGATCGCAAGTGGTGAGAACTACATTATTCATCATGTTGAGTCTGGGCTTTAAATGCAGTTTTCACCTTAGTCTAGGCAAATTAAACCATCAGAGCCATTATAGAGAACTCGAATATCGAACTGTTTTTGACTTAAGCAGGTGCGAGGAAGGTGGCTCAAGATGTTAACTTATAGAATTGAGGTTTTTGCTTTCAGCTAATTTTAATTGTTTTCTTTCTCTATTTATGGTCGCCGTTCTAATGACTCGTCTTCGTTGATAAAAATAAACAAAATAAACAGCTCCGAAATTTCGTTATAATCGAAGAGGAAAGCTCCAGTCTGGGAAAAAATTACCTCAGAGTACAAGGTGCTGCCACATTCCTGTTGGAGAAAGGACAACCACGACAAAGTTTACGTCGTTCAGGCAGAACTACGAAAAGATACCTCCTTGAAAGCGTTGTTGACTATGTTAATTTTGTGAAAACATTAAACTCATAATCAGATGCGAACCAATTTTGAGAAATTGCATGGCGTCGCCAAGTTATTTGAGCCTTGAAACGAGTAAAAAACTAAACCGAAGGAATAGCGTTCTGCGTTTAACAAAAAATTATCATTTCATGTTTAATTAACGTTCCCTTCGTAAACTTCTTTGTATGGTGTTACATCCGTGGCACTTGTCACAATAAATTTTCTTCTCGCGTCAATAAAACGCACACGGGATATATATTATTGGAAATTCAGAAGCAGCGAGCGCCTGGGACATTGGTTAAAAAAGAAGCTGTCGGTAGGAATTCAGGTTTATGATGATTAGACGAAAAAAATAATAACTAAGTTGCAAGGAGGCAATTTATAGTAGCATACACGGCCATTTGATCTGTAGTTTATGGCGCCAAGTGGTGAAACCAGTTGTTCTCGAACATTATGAGATGTGCGTGTGATGAAAGAAATAAAATCAACTAGAATTTTGGGTCAAAAATTACATGCATGAATGACTAGATAACACATGGTCGTGTTGCTGCGAGACAAATCAATAATGAAATAAGCTTTCGCAATGTCTTGTGCCGATCTCTGAACCCCTGGTAAGCCTATCTCTGAAAGCTGCCGTAACGTTGGAGTGAAATGGCGATATATTGAAGTGGAATCGATCCAATTCACCGCTCGCTTGTTTTCAAAGAAGAGATTCCTGTGTTAACTGAGAGTCACGTTATGTTATTTTGTTATGATCCTGTTTTTCACACGAAGTACAATGCATGTTACCGATCTTACTAAAACAGCAATCCACGTACGTAGCATCCACCATCTACATACATGTTTTGTATAATCAAAATATGGATGTTGCACGAAGACTACGATACCTTGTTGAGCCAGGATGAGGAGGTGGAAGCAAAACAGGAACACCATCAGAACTTTGGCGATTCGGCGTGTTTCCGTTTGCCATTACAAATGGTTAATATATACCGAAACAACAGGGAGACTTCCAAGCTAGCATATATTATTGATCACTGCACAGTCAATATGATATTCGAAGGGTTTCCAGCGGTTGTGACGCTTCCTTTTGTCAATTCAACCAATTGCAGCACGTGGGAATCGACGATAGAGCAGGTGATTGTTGTCTTTTCTTTCGTTTTAGAATGGATCATGCATTTGTTGCAATTTTTAATCAAGCTTGTAAATGAAGTTTGTTCGGAAATGACTTTCTGTCTGGGTTAATTTTCGATAAGGAATGAAGGTTTTTTCGGAAGATGAAACTTTACCGATTCATCGATTGCAACCAATATTTTTTCCTTTCAAACCCTTATATCTATATGATCGTTGCGATTAGGGCAACATAAAAAACTTCCGCGATGTTAGCGGTCGTGGTGACAATCGTATCGATTCAACAAGGGAACCAGCATAGGGGCTTTTACAGAAAAAAAAACTAAATGTTGTTAAGTCAAAAATATTCCTCGCTTTTCCTCGCTCAGATTGTCTAGACGTAACAGTGGAAGCGAGACAATCTTTTGAGTTAAGACAAGTGAATATTCTGAGTCCATCAAGCTTTGGTTATTGACGAAGGCGTTGGTAATTGTTTCATAATGAGACAGGTATAAAGGAGGATCAAGTGTAAAAATTATCATATCTTATTTTCATCGCTGATCGACCACAAAAGTGATATCTCCACTTCATGCACCTACAAGTTTAATGCGTTAGACAATAAAACAATAAGCGATTTTGTCTTTCGGCGTCGACAACATGCTGCAATAATAGACAAATTACCACCTCTGAATATCTTAAAATCAATTCCGATAAAGTTTCAAAAGCTTTTAAACCTATGGATCAACTTGCACGACCAATGGGCTTGATTGTGTGGACCAAATGTACATTACTTTCGCTCAATTCCACAAGAAATGTTTTCAAAGCTTGAGGAAGCCATTATTACTTGGCCACCAAGACTCTTCATAATGACATATTTCATGAA